CCAACTCATCAGCCCTCTCATTTCGTTTAAGTTCCTATGGCCGGGTCGGAAACGCAGACGAGAGAGTTGTCTAATTATCTCGTCCGTAGAGCTTAACGTAGATTTGCAATCGCTGACTGCTTTAGATTTTGTTACCGTTGAGGCAAGTGCCAGAAGTGACGCTTGACTATCTGAGCAAATGTGTGCTTTTCGTACTCCTACGTAGTTCCTCTCGAATGCTTTACAAAACTTTTCGATTCGCAGAACTTCCATTTGGAAGAAGCAAGAAAAGTTAAGTAGTCGGAATGGCATCGAAGAGACATTCAACGTTTCAGAGAACACCCCCGTAATCATACCGAAGTCCATTTTGGACCCATCAGTATAAATTTCAGTGGACTTCACCTCTATTATCCTGCCCCTACTCCGATCCCGTTTAGAAGGAAACTTCACCTGAAAGTGTTTCCTGAAATCTGTCGTATACAGGTATACATTTTTTGAGAGATAAACCAAAACGGACACCACGCATTGAAAGGAAATTTCAGCCAAGATTAAAATCTGGAATATTTAAATAGCCCTTAGACCAAAACTATTTGAATCAGTTAATGGCTCCAGTACGAGAAATACGCAACAAAAGCACTATAGCTTTGGAAACACGTGGAACCCCATGCATACTTTTGAAAACTTGAGGCAGAATATCAAAATGATTCTTGTGGTTATAGCAAAAAAATTAAATAAGATTTTCGACTGCTTAGCTTGGAGCCAACTGGTGGAAGACTACGAAAAAAGTAGCCCGAAAAATATACTTTTAACTTAAAAGTCTCTTCAATGTGGGGTTTTCTGATGAGATATCCATAGGTTGTGTGGCCTTGTGGTGGCAACCCCAGAGTATTCTTATAGTCAACACACTTTGAAACATAGCTACCAAACCATTTAAAATTCAGCTTATGACACCATCTATAGTGTTAAGTTTTCTACACTGGGCAAACCTATTTTTAGGAAACAGTTTTCATTCATAAATACCTCAACTACAAATGAGAATATGGTGGTGTTTGTTAAATATTTGCAAGGCTTTTAACGCAAAAACTTTTTTTGTAATTTTATTTTTATAATATCATGCCTCAGGCGTTAACCAATACCATATAAACCAAACTTTAAGTTTTTTGTACAGAGCTTAGAAAAATTCAACAAGTTTCCATGAAAATTTTCAACTTTTTAAAAAAGTGAAAAAAGCCGCCCGGAACAAAAATACTAAAAATTAAGGCAATTTTTTAGTCGCTTCAAATTTGCGCTTTACAATACTAAAATTTTGCAGGCCATTTTATGAACATTTTTTGAATTTTCCTATGCTCTGTATAAAAATTTAAAGTTTGATTTATATGGTTTTTATTAAAGGATGAACCACGTTTTTATAAAAAAAAAAATAAAAGAAAAAAATTAGATTTTTAGAAAAGCCACCATGTACTCAGTTTTGCACTTCACTGTAATTTCTGCTTTTTTCATGCATCTAAAAATGTGCACCCATTAACGCCTTCCTCACTGATTACTGCCTACTTTTCCAAAGTCGGCTCTACACTTTTTCCGCTTACCTCCTTCTCTTATATACCTTCTTCCGCTGCTGACATCATATTCCTAGTAAAATTCAATTATCTCGAGTTCAGTGTACAAAACTTAAATCATTTTAAAATCGCACAAGCAATTAAAATCACTGCAAAAAAAAAAAAAAAAAACCTAAAAAATTAACCAACAAAAAAGTCACACTTTTTTCTCTCCGGCATCTGTTCAACAGCGCTTAACATTAGTTCATTTCGCTTTGCAATTATATTCCACGCTTTATTATTTTCGAGTTCACTGCTGTCACTTTTGTTGAGCTTTTCACTGCTACTAATAATCCATATACGCAAACGTTAGCGACTTTACCACTTCAATTTGCTGAAAATATGATAATAGCGAGTCACTTTTTATAAAAGATCACGCTTTAGAAAATTTTCTTCTCGATTTGTGTATTTTTTTTTTTTAACATACGAGTATATTCCAATAAGTCAAATTGGTGCTGCTAGCTTAGAAATAGAAAAATAAAAACTTGTTTCACCGTTTTTCATTCATTCCACGTTCGCCAACTTTTTCTAGTTAGCTTAGATTTCAAATTTATTTGTCGTCGTTTTCTGCGATACCGAACCGTCGCTGTTGCCCGCCAACGCTGTACTAAAAGAGTTGCTTGACTGCGTCGCGCATTAAATAAATTTTCGCCGCTGACATCATCGCTTGGCGCTCATGAGGAGCTTATATGAGTACTGATAGTCAGTCGCCTGATCGTGGTGTAGAGGCGTTCTTCAAGCGCTCTTTCTCGGCAGCAGCAACAGCAGCAGCAATAGTGGTAGCAGCTTTAGTATCGACAGCAGACTTTATCTGCTCTCCTTCTATTACCACTTTTTTTCTTGCTCTATGTGTATTTGCTGCGGCTGTTGATTTTTACGCCGCTGAACCACTTTTTTTTTTAGTACTAAACCGGCTACTTTGGTCATGGTGTGTTCTAAATTAGCCGGCATTTGTATGTTAAGAGAAACTAAGCTGTGAAGAGAATTGCTAGAAGCTCTTTTCTACGGCAGTGGGGTCACATATTGGACCGGCAATTTTCGTTGTTTAGTGGAAATGTAAAGGAAATCATATGGGATGCGCCCCTCGCGTCGGTTGTGCGGGAGTGGGGGGTAAAACCGTTGGGATTAATTAATTAATCTTCTTCTTGAAAAACTATTTTCGCAAGCAAGCTTTCTTAACCACCTTTTATTTGGCATCCATATTGAAATATTTTATTAAATGGAATTTGACTTGACTTAAACAGGTGGCAACCCCCTTCAAAATATTTTTAAAACATAGCTTTCTTTTAATTCTTTCAATTGACATCAATAATCTAATATTTAATGTTATTGCTTATTATTATTTAATTTATTTTAGCTTTTAAACAGGTGGCAACCCCGTTTCAAAATATATTTTTGAAATAAAGCTTTCTTATACCTCCTTCAATTAACATCCATATTGTAATATTGAGTTTAATTTAATATTGTTGTCAAATTTAGTTTGACTTTTAAACCCTACCCTACTTTCAAAATATTTTCGAAAGCACGAAGTTTCTGCCTAAGAAGACCCCTAGTAAAATTTACCGAAGAATAATAGTAATAATAATAGAATATATCAATGCTCCGACGAACTTCCAAATTCGCTTTTTGCGGAGTTTCTTGAAGAACGGGTCAAAACGATATTTTCAGGCGGGAGCTAATGCGTGAAAATATTCTACGAAAATATTTCCCAAGAAATTTTACTATATACATATGTCTTAAACTTTTATTTCGCTCAGACATTTATTTTAACAAATTTTTCCACTTTTTTGAAAACTACTTACGCCGGGACTTGAAAATTTCAGTAGGCATAATATAAAAATTCGAGCTAGCTCTTGCAAATCCATTTACTCCTGGATGGGCATACGAACTGGAATGTTAACTGCAGGAGACTAGAACTAAGTCTCTCGGAGGCGCCCGTTTAAGGCATGAATCGTTTTGAAAAGTCTATTGGCCAGTTACTTAGTAGACACTGACATTAAATTTTTAATTATTTTTTAAATATCCACAATGACCTTCTTTTGCTCAATAAGTATTCGCGCTGTCGTCATTCATTCATTGTTTATAGTAAACTATATATAAGTACTATTTATGTGCACATGTAGGTATGTATGTTGGAGTAATTCATTGTAGGTGTTGGCTGTGAAATAATATTTCACACTTTGTTGCATTTTTCAATTTGGAATAACAATTAAAATGTATTAAAAACAATAGTTGGCTTAGTTAAAGGGGTGTTATTAAAATACTTTTTTTTTACTCTTTTTAAATTTCAGGCATGTAATTAATACGCATGTGGGTGAACAAGTAATATGTTTATAAATTTACATATAAATATCATGCTACGTAAATACTACGTGCACATATTATTGAAATACTCAGTGCTTAAATCTGTATTTTTATTTTTTTTTCTTAGAAATTGCTATAGGCGAAGAAAGAAACAAACACTCGTACACTCGTATTATTAAACTTTCATCTACTTAACTCTTTGCGCTCTAACAGCAGCAGAATAATATGTAATAACAATTACTTAGTAACTCTATATTTGAGTGACTTAACAAGCAAAAACATATTGGAAATCGCTTTTGAATTTTTGTTTGTACTTACTTACGTACGTACATATGTATGTATGTATGTGTGTAGTACCACGTGCTATTTTACATCGAACGCACGCCAACATTTCTGAGCAGAAATATTAAGTAAACAATAGCAGGCAAATGAAGTTCAAACAAAGAGAATATCAAAAAAAAAAAACAGAAAAAAGGCAAACAAATAGAATATTTAAATGAACGAATAAGAACAAAAGGGCACTTGGATGATGTAAATATTTATACTAACAACTAACTTTTTTTTTTGATACCACAAACATTGGAGTAGCTGCATTATACCTCTACACATGTATGTATGTATGTACATTGTTGATAGATTTTTACACTAAATATAAATAAATATTTATGCTTTTGCATAAGTAGACCATTCTGACTAAGGAAAAAGTTTGGGTATGGTAAAAATTTTGTATTTCCTAATATTTCTTTATCATACATATACTATAAATTAGTAAGGCCCCGTCAGCTGATCCTGGAAAATTTTGCTAAGCCATGGATTTCTGAAAAAAAAAACTCTATTATTTTTAAATGTAAATAGTAGTAAGCTACAGCTTGTAAGCCAACCAGGGGCTCTGCATGGATGTATGCAGAGGTGACACCTTTATGACAGCTATTGACTAAGCACGCCTATCCGCAGCCTGAATTTAATACAAACATATTGCACATCAGCTTACCATAGCTAGAGCACGTCTACTTGAATGGAGTCCCCAATAAATAAATGCTTAAAGGAAGACTGCTTCATTGCGCTACCATTTCCTCTACCGCAATCGGGCAATCTGTCTCGCCCTCTCTCTCACTCGCCACCTTTTTCAAAATTATTATTTTTTTAATCAAATAACTAATAAGTTATATAAATTACTAGCGGACTCGGCGAACTTCGTCCCCCTAAAACTATTTATTATTTGGTTCGACATTTTCACCAACACGACTTCCAGTGGCACACTTATATGCTCTGATTACGGTGTTTAGGACGTTAGAAGGCATATCTTCCAATTCATTGCAAAAATAAATAAATACAAGCGCCAAATATACTCATTTCGTATATTTGATTTGTTAATGGAATCTTTATGAATTTACAACGCAGACTAACCTAACCTACGTAAAAATTTTGCATTAAGCAACCATTTCAATAATAAAAAAACACCCTTTTTTCTGGAAATCTATATTTTTCGGTAAATTTTTGCAAGATCAGAAAGTTTCCTTGACAACAAAAAAGATACATCAATTGGACGATCTGTTTTAGTGTGACCCTCGGTCTTACATAAGTAAGTACCTTTGTTGTAGTTAAATTGAGATTTACATTTTGAGTTAGTTGGCAACTCTCTTCAAAAATATAATTTTTGTGAAGAAGAGGAAATTTAAATACCTTTCATTCCCTAAGCGTCATATTTTACTTAAGATACATATTTAATTTATTAAAATTTTAAACATGTGGCAACCTTATTTGTACTTTCCTCTAAAGAAATATTCAAGCTAAAGATTTCTTAAAACGCTTTCGTTTGACAACCATATTTTATCTAACTTATTCATATAACTTGTGTATTAGATTAAAAAATTCGACTTTTAAAACATGTGGCAACCCATTTTCAAAGCAATTTTTTATCTTAAATGACTGACTGACTTTTGACTCATATCTCAATTACTTTCTGAATTAAAAATAATTTAATTTTTTAAACACGTGGCAACTCCCAAAATATATTTCAAAAATAAAGCGTTTAAAAATTCATTTCGATTGATAAACATCTATTAATAATTCATGTATCTTATTCAAAAATTTTGATTCAAACTTTTAAGCTGATGGCAACCTTCTTCAAACACCTCAAAAATATTTCAAATGTTCAAACTAATAATTTCGTAAAACTCTTTCGTTTGACATTCACATTTTAATATTTCATATAATTTGTGCTTAGTTATACAAAATTCAAGTTTTCCAACATGTTGCAACTCTCTTAAAAATATTTTAAAACTACTACCTTCTTAAAATTCTTTCGTCTGACACCCACATTTGAATTACCTTAAATCAAATTGAGTTGGACTATTTAAACAGGTGGCAACGCTCCTACATGTACTTAAACAATAAAGCCTTTTCAAAACCATTTCGGTTGATACCCATATTGTGGTAATTGATTTTCAAATAATTTGAAATTAATTTTTTACAAGTTGGCAATTCTTATGGAAAATACTTTTGCAGAGAGAGAGAGAGACAGTTAGCTTTTTTGTAAAGCACTTTTAACGGGATTGCAAACAATTCAAAAGTTTTAATGAAAGTTTAAGAGAGTTTAAAGGGAATATTTTAATACGTAAACTAAACGAAAGAAGTTAAAAGAGCTTTTTCGCCCAAATATTTTGGAAGGGTATGCTGTTTTGAAAATCAAATTTACTTAAGTTAATCGAGATAACTTACTTGAGTATTTACCGCAAATTATTTTGAAAGCATTTTAACATATTTTCAAAATGTATGTACATAAATCAACTGTTTCCGTTTATATTAAATAAAGTATAATAATTTGGTAGTGACGTTAAATTAAAATTACCTGCCGATAATTTCGCCAAACTCCAGCCATGAATTTTAGTCGCTTTTTTTCGTTAAGATGCGGAGGTTAATTTTTCAAGCTATGTTGTTAAGCTACTGACGGAAATAATTATCGCCATTTTATAATGGATGTATTACATTACTAATATTTGTTACAACTTTCTTGATCTTAGCATCAAAACAGATGTATCACAGCTTACATAAAAGCTATATGCATACATACATACATATATCTGAAAACGACATCCATAATCGAAATCAATCAAAACAAAGTAAGTTAAATGCTCTTTTCCTCTTTCTAACTGACTCCAAAAGGGCACTCGTTGCTGCTTAAGATGCTTGCAGCTCTTTTCAAATTGATCCCTTTTACTTCACTGCAATTTTTTGCTAAAACATGATTACCGACTAGCGTATAGCACAGTTACACTAACAACAT